GAAGGAGGGGCTTTGTACAAAACGACGCGTTTGAGAGAGTCGGGGCATAGAGGAACTACAATAATGTACAGTATTTGAAAAATAATGTGTTTTTTGAACATTAAAGCATGTCAACATATTCTGTTACACCAAATACACAAAATAATGATCGTTAAAATAGCATCATATGACCCCTTTAAAAACATGACTTAATTCAGCTTACCAAAATGTTCATATTAAATAAAAACAGTGCTGGGGTGTAACGAACTCTTCAAAAACTCAGTACATACAAACAGTCACCACCCCCAAGAGATGAATTGATCGCAGCACGCAGACTCCTTTCATGGTTTCATTAATTTCCCTTCAGATGAAAGGATAACCTTTGTCATAACTTTCCCCAAAAAATGAGGGAGCAAAAAAAAAACCTGACGCATCACGAAGGCTTCACGCCAGAGAAATGTCAGAGGTGCTGAGAGCCAGAGAGTGGGACAATAGGCCTCTCGATGTTTAGATAGAGAACAATAGTCTCTTTAGACAGTGCGTCTATTTCCTCCTCGCTGGCCTTTTGCGTGAATATTCCTGAGCCTGTGTTGCAGGGAAAAAGAGTGATGGATTCAAACAGTCGATGCCACTCTGCATTCATCTGCCTGTTTAGAAATATTACCATCTGGACGTCTGTCACGGCTTTTCAAATATTGAGAGGCTGAAAGCAACTATCTTTGAAATAAAGGTGATTCAGTGTGCAATGTTGGAGGGCTTAAGATGCTTTTAAGAGACTGAATTGATCATGCATCCTTCTTTAACCACAGCTCTTCTACAAAATCTGATTACATGTTATAAGGCATATGATATTGTCTAACTATATGAGGGCTTTCCTCTTTGTGCTGTCCTGGCAGCCATCCAGTGCTTAGACTTCTGTGAAACCGGAACCATTTGGACTTTAGTGTCCTTTTACACATGTAATGTACACCATGGGATTATCAAGATGGCAAATTTCCTGTCGTTATTTAGGGCGGACAGATACATTATTAATGTAACGTGCCTAGTGAACTTTATGGACTTTGTTCTGGGGCTCAACAAATACGTGGCATACTAGTTTGAAACCCAGTCCCAGAGTCATGATTCCTTTGAACGCTCCATAAAAGCCATGAATCGTGCTGTAAATTATGCTGCAATCCAAATAATGAGCTCACCACTCCTTCTGATCCTGTCCTCTAGTACCTCTGTGTGTCCGTTGGGCAGTTTCTTGGAGAAAACCTGGGCTGAGCGCAGGAACATTGCCTCTACAGCGGAACCTTTTAATAAAGCAATCTGATCTTCATGATCCAGAGATTGAAAACCTGCTCAGAAAACAAGAATGCGGCAAATATGTTTGCTTAGAACTGCCAGAGTTATTGCATCCTCCTCATAGGACATTGCTGTCATATAAAGTGTTTTCTTGAACTATGTGAATTTATTTTATTTTCATACAAGTGGTATAGATCCTGCTAGCGAAATAACTGTTGTAGAATTTGAAAAACAGTACCTGGTATATTTTTTGTGAACTCAACCAGCACTTGAACATGACTAGTTGCCATTTCGGTCAGTAGAAGGAAGTTTTCTTCTGCGTTAAATTGCTCTTGTAGCTGTGGACAGGTTGGAAGGAGGAAAAAAGCATGCAAATAAGCCACTGTTTTACGACATTGGGGTGGAGATAACCTTGGTTACATAATGTTTTAACAGTGATAAGAACAGGTTCTTGCTGTTTGCTGATTTTAACAGTAGCATTTGGCTGCTTTGTGCATTAAAGAATCATAAAAAGATTTAAAGACTTAAAAAGCTGATCTAAAATGAGAGGGTTGTTTTTTGATTTTCGAGAAGACATACCAGTTTTTTCGCCATATCCTGAGGGATGCGATGTTTGTTGTGAGCATCAACTATATAACTTATTAAAGCCTGTTGGTCTTGGCTCAGTTCTATATTCTCCTGAAATGAGAAAATGTGCCAAAATTCCTGTTTATAAATTTGGATCATGGAGAATCCAGCTATGTGAAATAATAATTAAAGATTGGTGGTGTCATTTTTTAATAACTAGCCAAAGTTTGATCCTGCACAGCCATTTTACAACCCTTGATCATAATATAATCTTTAAGAAGTAACCGTGTATGTGAGCAAAAGTGAGAAGAATGACGGTGAAGAGGATCATTGAGGTTGCCCTTTAACCTTTTATAGCACTTCAATAAAGTTGCCATAGAACACCCTTAGTTTGCAATTATACTTGAAAAGTTATATTGTAACAAGCATGGCACCAAGTAAACTGTATCTCAAATACTTAAAGTTGCACAAATCAAAAAGACAAGTATTTTAGTTTGTTTTGTGGAAGTTTTCACCATGGATTATAATAATAACCCAATCAGACAGCACCTGTGTTCTTACCTTGGAGGGTTTAGTGGTAGATACAATTTGTTTAGCATCTCTACTATCACCAACATCATCCCCTATACTTTCGTCAGATGAGGCTTTTGTGTTTTTCCTCAGCCTTTTGGATTTGCACTGGATTTCAGTTAATAAGCCTGAGGATGCAAAAACAAAATAGATACAGAAACTAGATACAGATTGGTAAGATTGACAGTTTACAAGCAAACAGCTTTTCATCAAGGGAAAAAATTAGTCTTGGAAACAATTTTTTAAAAATATATATTTTATCTGTTTCATTCCTCAAAAATATTTATGTAAAAAACAATACACTATACATGAGCTACAGAAGCTTAGAAAATACAACTTCCACAAACTAATATTTTATCTCAAGTAAATCAATATTATTTGAACCCAAACCATCTCATATCATTTGTTGCCCAAATAGAACATTGTACCTCTGTAGATACATTCTCTTTGGAAAATAAATTAAGTTGACTATGCCAGTTAATAACTGTTATTAAAAACTGCTGTTCAAGAGTTTCTGATCTGACTTATCTGATTGCACAATGTGCATGACTCTTGGGCTGATATATTAGTTGAGCAGGAACACATTTTATAATGTTTACAGTGCTCTTACTCACATTCTGCCAGCATGCCCATCCCTTTGCACTTTCTGAGTCGACACTCTTGGCATTTCCTGCGCATGTACATGTCCATCTCACAGTTTCCTCCACTCTTACATTTATATACAGCATTCTTTGTAATACTCCTTCTGAAGAAACCTGGAAGAAATAGCACAGCATGTTCAATATGCCACACATTTCACGTATAGTATACTGTAATATTGGGAATCAGGATCCAGATTTTTCATAGACCATCATGTAGTGACTCAACACAGAAAAAACTGAGAAAGCTACATTTACAAAACATCGAAATGTATAAATATTACCATGAACTGTAAAGCCCAAACGATATGCAGTTCTAAAATAGGCTACATAGAAAAATGTTGGTTTCTAAATGTCTCTTGAATTTCAGTAGTTTCATGCATTTGTTTGTGGGGGGGTTCATCTTTTTGCATTTTTCATGGTTTTACAAGGACAGCAATTGCATTTAATTATTGATATTTAGCTTTTTTAGCATTTAACATTGTACCTCTATCAACAGACCCAAATTCAAATTTTGTGTCATAAATTAATTCCCTGAGATCCACTGTTTTGGTAAATAAGTAATTTTTTCCCCTATCATATTATCAGTTGTTTTTACACTTCGACACAGTGGATGACAGATCAGATGGCAAGAATAGACATACAAAAGCATTCAGGAGCAGATTACATTGCTTCAAATTTAAAGTGCCTTATTTGCATGACTCACTTTTGTACGTATTGCCAAAGTATTACAGGGATTATAGGAATCTAACTATTCTCTAATTTTGAAAACCATAATAAAACATTAGAAGCAACAGTTGGCTACCGTATAAGTCTAAGCTATTAGGAGAAACAAGAAGGCCACTTTGTAAACACAGATCAAGGAATAGGTTAATTGCAGCCCATGTAAGGTATGGTGTAATGTTTAAGACATTACATTCAGAACTGTAATACAGATACTCTTGGATGCTCGATTTTCAGTTCTAGGCAGCAGACAAACATGTGCAGTTGTTTTTGGAACAGGTAATTATTCCACCATGAGCACAATGACACACATTAACTTTGCATGGTGGCATGTGGCTCTGGTTGCCTACATCATTATTCAGCAGAAAGCTGAGAGGGAATCCAATCCAAACTGAACGTGAAGGAGCACCAAACCCAGCCAAGTGGGACTTGGAACACATAGCCCAGCATCTGCCCTTTGGGCATTGTCCATGCACAGGTGGAATTACACTTGCAGTCATTCAGCCAATGATTTTCCAAAGAGCTAAATTTGGCACATGGGGTTCCATGTCAATTATTACGTCCTTCATGAGCTATGTAGCCAATGGATACAATATACAGTATCTATGAAGGTTCAAGGGTGAACAACGAGGTCACAGAACAAAGGTGCAACTGTACATTGTTACAGTATACTGTATATCAAATAAATATATTAAATGCAAAGCTATATTTGGCATTTAAAGTTAAATGTGCAATTTCTTGGCCTCTATCAACAAATAGCCCTGAACTCATTCCATTGGTTGAGCCAATGTTTTTAAAAAATTACATTGCCAAATTATGAGAATAATTAATACAAAAATGAATGTACAACAATTCTTGCAAAAGATTTAAATGACTTTTAATGCCATATTAGAGGCATCATAATAACATAGTTCAACATTTAATTGATTTATTTTTTAGAAATGAAATATTACTGATAAAAAAACTCTTTAACTACATGTTGTTACATAACCAGTCAGTAACTATACTGATCTCACATATATACAGTAGTCAGCATTTGAAGTGGATCAAAAAAGTTCATCAAAGTTGTCCTAAGACGAACGCTTTTAGGTTTTAGGACAACTTTGATGAAAGGTTTTGATCCACTTCAAATGTTGACTACTGAAGTTGTAAGCTATATGTGTTTGGTTCACTAAAAAGAACTGACTCATTAGATTAATTTGTTTGGGAATCAGACTATACTGGTTGTGCTGTATATTTCTGATTTACTAAAAAGAGCTGACTCATTAGAGTCAATCATTTGGGAATTGGGCTACACTGGTCACACTGTATGGATTTGATTCTCTACAAAGAACCAGCATATAAGATTCATTTGTTCAGGAATTGGACTACACTGGTCACACTGTATGTTTTTGGTGTATGGATTTGATTTACAAGTAGAATCAGATAATAAGATTCAGTCGTTCAGGAATTGGACTGCACACACTGTCTGCTTCACATTGTTGATTCAGTAAGTGGTGCTGGAATCACTGACAAGAGTATTTTAGTATGTGGTTCCGAAATGTGTGAAAACTTTCAATCCTGCTATTTATTTATTTTTTTATAGAATTGATTCTGAATAAGAACCGGTTCTTGGTTTCCAACTTTATGAAAACTTTGTTCAGAAATACATGTTTTGTGACTGAAAATGTCAGCAAAAATACTGTAAATTATGGCATTCACCTTTACATCCTTCACATGTGAGTGCATTGTAGTGATACCCTGATGCTTTATCTCCACAGACCACACACAGTTCCTCGCCTTTGCTCCTTCCGGAGTGGGCTGCGTGTCTGGATCTTTTACACACAGTCGGGACAACAGGGCAAGACTCGTCCAGCTCATTATCAAAGCCTCCCTCCAACGGTCCTTTCCTCATCTCAAACACGGTGGATGGAGAGTACCACTCCTCCCCACAGTACTGTGGGTAGCAGTGCTGACTGGAGTAGTATGATGGTGATGACATGGAGGGCTCCACCGAGGTGTACTGCATGCTGGGATAGCTGGTGAAGGGCATGACCTCCTGGTCCTGTAGCAATGGACTGTTCTGTTCTGCCAGAATATCTGAGGAGAAGATGGCAGGAGTGAGCAGAGCTTGTCAGTTTACATGTGTCATGGAGATACAAAGCTCAAGTTCACCTTACTGTTAGCCCAGCACGGAGTGCTAATAGGTCTTACGCCAACACGACGATTAGTGAAGCTACAACACGCCGAGGTACTGTTTCCTTGCAGACACCATCAGAGTCATTAAGATCTCCATTACCTCATAAGTGCATATTAAAAACCATCTAGGAACATAATCAGCCTCTATCCAACTAGTAGCAGTAGATTGAGTGAAATGTACATAATACAGAAGTCAAACACACCCAGACATAAAACAAGCAATCATTAACCAAAGTGGATTTACTCTGGATTTACAAAATATTACTGTCTAAGGGAGTTTCAGTAGATTTTTATTATCATTTTTGATTACACAAACACACATACACACATATATATACTGTATATATATATATATTTTTTTTTTTATAAATTAAGTGTTGAGTGCACTTTTAATTTGTCGGAAATAGGTTTAAAAGCATTCACTTACATACTGTTCTATTATTGGCTCTATTATTAAACAAGGCCAGAAACATACTTTTATACAAGTACACAAAGACATACTTAGGTGCTTAGTCAATGTATTGATCTGTACTACAGGGGCGCTACAGTTAATTTCAAATCTCTATTGCATTAAAGTTAGCAAAAAATGGAAATTCACCTTATCTATTTTCTAAATGCATCTTATATATCTTACTGTAAATGATTCATCCATACGTGTTTCTTTTCTTTATTTCTCTGTGGTGAAGTTTAATTAAGAGCTTGTTGTTATGTAAGCCCCGCCCCTTTCTTACAATTCAGATCTGCTTCCATTCCATCAACAACTGATGAATCTGTCACTATTTCAATAGTTGACCTAAAAGAGAAAACTGACTATAAAAGAAGACTGTTTACAGCACCCCTTGTGGCAACACTGAGAACTTTACATGCACTTTCTGTTACGTATTGCGTTATAAACTACGGCCTGACCTATTTCAGAACACGATGCTAGAAATAAAGTTAGAATACCTAAAAGTGTTATATATTTGCATATTTCGAGCTAAACTCCATCAGGTCATCAGCTATTTTTTGATGTTTGTGGTTATTATTAACATATGTAGTCCACTTGCTAACAATGACAACTTTTTCGGAACTGTGAAAGACTCATTGAATTCTCATTGGCAATTTAATCATTTTAAAGTAAACAAGACATCTAAAACTTTTGTACTATGTCTACACTACATTTTCGTCAACAACAAAAAAATATGACGACTGCTTCAGTATCATGAGATGGTACTGACCTGAAGCCTTATCCTGAACCATGGCCATTTCAGTGCGTAAGGGTACAGATGATCATTAGCCGTATTGATTCCTAACCATCCAACTGTTCCTTCAACTCCTCAGCATGTGTCTATGTGTCCCTTTTCACAAAGTATTACTGTTGCTGAACACCTTCATACTTCATACATAAGTGTTAGTGTGAACAAAGGTTGCTATAGTTGCTCATTAACCTGACAGTCACAATTCCCTGTCTCATTACATGTAGGATTGATCTGGATTTATAAATGTCATCTAGGAGAAAACATGCTCACTCGTGTTTGTAAAATTGAAGGTGACAGTTTCACTTTTTGGCTTCTGCTAATAACAGAAATTTGCTCCAGTTTGTTTCATAGTTTCTGACTCATAGTTTTACAGGTGCATCTCAATAAATTAGAATGTCGTGGAAAAGTTCATTTATTTCAGTAATTCAACTCAAATTGTG